AGTTCCTATCTATAACTTTGCATGATTTCATGTGACTTTGTATAACAAAAAAATATTTTTTCATAATATACAACTTTCGTCACTCGATACACTTTTTTAAATTTATATATGCCGATCGCCCGGTTTTTACTAATCAATTTCTATCGTTGATCGGCGGACCACGAATTAACCCAGTTACGATCTTGAAAAATTTTTTTTTCTTTAAACAAAATGGCAACTATGGAAAAAAAAGCGGAAAGAGAATATGAAGAAGCAAAGAGGAAGTTGGAGCGGTGGGAAGAAATGCGGGGAAAGAGGTTGGATGAGTTGAAGAAAAAATTGTGGAGGGAGGAGTATGGTGATGACGAAGGAAAAAAAAAGATATGGACGGAGGAGAAGGAGGATTTAGAAAAAGAGAAAATTGAGTTGGCAGAGTCGAAGAAAAGTTGGGAGGCGTTGTACCAAGAGGCGTTACGTGGAGGAATTGGTAATGAATAAATTATGTAAAAAAAAAAAAAATAATTTTTCGTTCATTCCATTTCGTTTATTTATTTATTTGAGAGAGCATTTGTTTGTCCTTTATTCACTTCATTGTTCTTTTTAGGAAAAAGGGAAAGTCAATATGAAGAAGAACTTGAAATGGATGAAGGAGAAACTCTCAATGAAGAAACTTTCAATGAAGAAACTCACATTGAAGAAACTTTCAATGAAGAAACTCACAATGAAGAAACTCACAATGAATCCAATCAACAAAACGATGATAATGATGATGATAATAAACATAAGGGTGTCATTGTCTATAGTGCAGAAGAAAACAATATTCCATCTCATTTTCGTGCTCTGCGAGAAGGTGAGACTCTTACTGACGAACAAATTGCTACAATATTAGAGCATCAAGATGAATACGGTTATTTAACACGCTATGCGGAATTAATGAAAAATGATGAATTGTTGCCAGTTAGTATTTATAAATATTTTAAATACCTAATATTATTAGCTTTTTTAAAAAATTAATTCATATTGATTTTATGAGAAAGGCATATGGAGATAGTGATCCAGAATTATATGATTATTCTAGTGAATTTGAGGCAGAAGTTTACGAATCAGAAGAAGAAGCTGAAATAAAGAGAAATCAATCTTATAATGATAATGATAGCAATCAAAATAGTCAAAATAGTCCAATTGATCAAATTGATCAAAACAATAACAACAGTGGAAATAATGACAATATCAGAAAAATTAGATATCGTATGTTTGGCAAAATAATAAAAAAATATATTTTGGATCAAAAACTCGCTTGGAAACTTTTTGAGCAAGTATTTTTTTTTGTCTTTTGTCTTTATTATTGTTATTATTATTGGTTACTTTTGAATTTATTTAAAACAATTCATATATATTTTAGCATGCCAAAATATTCTAAAAGAGAATATTACTATTGGAAAAAATATCACTCTGAAAGTTCAATTGAATTACTTGTAGCGGATATAAGAAAATTAAGAGATACTGTAATAATTTATTTTTAAAAAAATTTAATGATTATTCTTTTTAATAAATTCCTATCAATATAATTTTAATTTATAATTTTATTATAAAATAGAGATTGACAAACATCTGTGAAAATTTACTAAATAATATAAATTTAAAAGCAATTAATTCTGATAATCACAAGAAAATATTTCGTCAATTTGGTGCAACTGATCAAACACTCAAAGAAATATTTAAATTAAGATGGTTAATTAAGCTTGCAAAATCACCAGTTCCACCACAAAAACCTAAACCAAAAAAAAGGCCAAAACCAAGCAAGGTGTTTAAAGATATATTCTATACATTTATTGTATTTATTTTTCTTTAAAAATTAATCCATTAATTCCTAAATAAATTTATATAATGATACTGTTTTTAGAGAAATGTTAAAGATGAAAAACTTACGGATGATGAAAATTCTGATGCTACAATTACAGATGAAGAACTTACTGATGACAATTTTATAGATGATTCTGACGCACCAAATATTGAAGAACTACAAAAACTTTCAATGGAATTGGCCAATAATGGCATTATTCCGGGTAATGCAATTAAGTCACTACTGCTATCATTAATACTACTTCTGCTGCTGCTATATTGTAATCAGTATTTGTTAAAATAAAATAATCATATTACCTTTAACATCAAATTTGTCATATAAAGGACCTGGAAAAATCGTAAAAATTCCATTAAAACTTAATCCACCAGTAAAAAACCCTACCAAGTCTAAAATTGTTAAGAAACATAAAGTGAAGAAGGGCAAATCCAAGAAAAAGGGATCTATAAAACCACTCGAAGAAATTGTTGAAGTTGAAGGAATGGAAATCGATGAACAAATTATGGATAATGAAAATGATAGCGATGAACAAATGTTGGGCATTGAAGAACCAATACCTCGTAATGGAGATTTCTTAACACAAGAGGAGGTTGCTGAATTGGAAAAAGATATTGTATCGCACGTTTGTGAAGATGATCCAATCGTCTCTGAATCAGAGCCAGACACAGAAGGGATAGATGAAAGATTTGAGAAATTAAAATCTTTTGTTGCAATTAATAATGATAATGGTAATTGATTTTTTGGTATTTAATCACATACAAGTATAATTATCTTGTTAAGTTTGAATTGATTATGTAAATTATCTTATTATTATATTATAGAAATTTACGAAAAGATGACAAGATTGTCTCTAAATTTGGCACGTTTGATCCCAACCAAAGACGAGGATAGCCTAATAATTGCAGCATATGCTTTCAGGATGTTTATCTATCATCTATGTGAAGATAATGCTGAATATAGAAGACTTTCACTTGATTTAGATTCTGATCGTAGAATCTTTTTCAAAAAATTCATTGTTGATTTCAGGAAACAGGTTGCAAATGCACCATTTGCCGATGACGATGACAATGGGGAAATGAATGAAGAGTATTTTTTTTTAATTAAATTGAAATTGAATAAAAAAATAAATGATGATGATGATGATGATGATCAGTAATAATGAATAAATTTATTTTTAATATTTATTCATTTAAATAGAAATGATTCTTCATTTGAATTGGAAAATTCACCATCAACGATTAATGATGATAGTAACGATACTTTTAGTGAAATTGATGAAGAAGATGAAAGTGACGATGAAACAACAACAAAAGGGAAAGGGAAAGGGAAAAAGAAAAATACAAGTCATAAAGCTGTTTTGCAGCAATATAAATTGAGACATTCGGATGAAATGGCATTTAAAAAACGTTACGAGGAGTAAGTTTCTTAAAAAGTCTTTATTCTTATACATATATATACACATATATGTTTATCTATGTTTATATTTATATAACTATTTAGACAACAACAATCTCTAAACTTTTCTAGCCAATCTAGTGGCGTGAGTATTATATTATATATATTTATGTGAAATAAATTATTATTATTGATGACTGGCTTATTGAATTTTTGGTTTTTATAAGATTATTATCAATCTTGGTCATTTGGAAGATCAAGAACATATTTGTATTCCTAATGCCTTAGGATCAAAATTAAAAAAACATCAGGTTTGAATTTATTGAAATTTAATTTAAAATTTTCATTTCATTTCATTTTTTATCGTTATTTATATTAGATTGATGGTGTAAGGTTTCTTTGGAAGAATATTGTCATGTTTAACAAAGGATGTGTTCTTGCTCATTCTATGGGCTTAGGTGTGTCTCATTACATTTAAGTCTAACAAGAATGTTTTCATCTAAAAATTAATTTTTTATTCCTTCTTGGTCTCGATATGTTATATATTATAGGGAAAACAATGCAAATTATTACTTTCCTTGCGACTCTCAAAATTAGAATTCTTCAAAAGGATCAAAATATTCCAGAGCATTTAAACGTAAGATAACATTATTTGTGAGATATTCGTTTTAATTTTTCTATTTTAGTCTTGTTGATTTTCCTTTTTTTTGAAAAAAGGATTTCCATGTTGTTATTGTATGTCCAAAAATCGTTATGGAGAACTGGGAAAACGAATTTAATAAATGGCTAGATAAGAATTCTGGATTAAATAATTTAATTCGTGTTTATAAATATTGTAATTAATAGAGTTTTTCCCAACTTTATATATATATAGCTATTTATTAATATAACTAATTTTTTTGAAATAGCGAGTAATAGATCTTTTGAGGAGTTGGAGTTATGGTGGATAAATGGTGGTGCATTATTAATTGGATATGAAATGCTAAGAAGTTATCTCAAATCAGATTCTGATTCCAAATACTTCCTAAACTCATCATTATTCATAGCTGACGAAGGACATATTTTGAAAACAGCAACAGTAAGTTTTAGCAACAAGCAAATTTATATATATATTTATAAAAAGTCAAAAAATCTGGTAACGATTTTTTGGCCAAGTTAAACTCGGTACTAGATTTTGGCTTGGCTTGTGCATTATTTTAACCAACTCATGTTAAAGTAAATTGGAACTTGATTTTGATTAGCATTTTTATTTATATTATTCATTTCTTAACAATTATTAGACTATTCTACCTACAAAATTAAGAGAACTTGTAACCAAAAGCAGGATAGTATTAACTGGCACTCCATTGCAGAATAATCTTGTATGTATAATATATATATATTTTTTATTACAATTATTTTCTAATAAATATTTATGTTTAATTGGAAATTTAGATGGAATGCTGGTCGATGGTTTGTTTTATAAATAAACATTTATATGTGGGTTTTTTTGAAAATTTTTATATTGCAAATTTTAATTGAATAATTTATATATAAGATTGACCTTGTATGCCCTAATTATTTGGGGGATTCAGAAGAGTTTAAAAAAATTTACCATAATCCCATCGTATTTGGTCTAAATAATAATCATGATGATCTAAAGGTTTATTATTATTATTATTATTATTATTATTATTATTATTATTATTATTATTGGTAGTAGCAATTGTTGAATTTTTTTTTTCCTTTTCATCCTCCGTCATCATCCTCTTTGACTAATTACTATCATTTTTTTTTCTTATTTAGCGATCTAAAAAGATGCAATTAGTATTTAAAAAACTAATGATGGATGTTGTTCATAGGTATTTAAAAATTCATTAGTCTTTTTATAGAAGCATATCCTTTTTATAGTTATATTCAGGGTTTGAAATAGGAGTGTGTCACACATTCTCAAATTTTCTATATACTCCACGCATAAAATTTGCATTTTTTTGGAGATTCAATTTTAATCACTGGTCATATTCATTCATTTTTATAAAAAAAATAGATGCAGCGTTGAAGTAGTTGTTAGTGAACTTCCTAGAAGATACGATTATATAATTCTATGTCGTATGAAAGATGAACAGTATAATCTTTATAAAGTAATTTACATTTATATTTATATGTTTTATGTTTTATATTAAAGGTTTTAACAATATTATGTTTTTATTGAATTTATATAGGATTTTTTGGAAACTAGTGAAAAAAACAACATTTTAAAAAATATCATTAACTTTTCAAATCTAATTACATTAATTTTAAATCATCCCAGGATTGTCACTGTAATATATTTATACATTTATTTAATTTTATATTAATTTTATTGCAAATTAAAAGTTTTTTTTCTCATTGATAATAGTTATTTAGTAATGAAAAAAAGAAAGCTGCTACTATTTCTTCAGCTTCTAAAGAAAAATCAGCAGCAAAAACCAATCATAACAGTAACGATATGATATTTCAAAGCAATATAAATGTAAACAATGCTTTTAACTCTGCCAACATTAATCCCACATACTTCTACAACAACCCCACTGTCACTAAAAATCCTCAAAATGATCCACAAAAACTCGTAAATCATAGTTTTTTACCAACTACAGTAACGAATTCAAATCCTCAATTTACATTTGCTGGACCAACAATGCCAGTAACTTTTAATCAAACACCTACCAGTCCTTCCGAACCAGGTAAAATAAAGATAACTCTTATTAATTGATATAATTATTTTTAATAATGAAAAAAAAACCTTTTTGCTAATAATGTAAATTTTTTTGTAATAGTAATAATTGATTTAACAGCAGATGATGACGACAACAATGCAGTTGTAGAAACTGAGCAAGTATTTTTTTTGTTTTCAAGAAGAATGATTTTAAGAATTTTAATACGTAACCTTTATTTTATTTAAACATAGACTTACTTCTGCTTGGATGTGTCTTGATAAGCTAGCAAGCAATATTAAAAGTAATAATCTATCATTCAATATAAAAATTATTCATCCGAGTAACTTGTCTTAAAATTACTAAATAAAATTTTTTGTTTGTTGTAGATATTGATAATTATGAATTAAGTTCTAAACTTGTTATTCTAAAAAATTTGCTCGAAACTTTCAGATCTCATAATGACAAAGCATTAATTTTCACCAGGAGTATTCCATCACTTGGTATACTAACATCATCATTATTGTTATTATTTTATTATTATTATTTATATCTTTCTATTAATCATTACGAATTCGTTATTATGTTATTATTAAGATTACTTGGAAACCTGCTTTACACAATGGTGTGAAGAATGGAAGATAGAGCCCAGGAAATCTTATATGAGGATCGATGGACATGTACAATCTGTAAGGTTATTTTTTTTATCAATACAATTATTTAAATTCATTGATTAATTATTAATTTAATTAATCATCATTTAATATGTAATTAGAATCGCCAATCAATGATTAATAGTTTCAATGCTAATCTTACTTGGCAAGTTGCCCTAATAAGCACACATACATGTGGGGTTGGGATAAACTTATATGGTGCAAATAGAGTAGTTTTATTTGATGTCGAATGGAATCCTAGGTAATAAATACTTTTTGAAGTAGTAGCTGTTGATAATAATTGATATTTTATTTTTTAATATTTTTATTATATTAATTATTATTAATATTTTTATTATATTAATTATTATTATTAATATTTTTATTATATTAATTATTATTATTAATATTATTATCGATTTATCTTACAAAGTTATGCTGATCAAGCCATTGGAAGGGTGTTTATTTATTATTTAAAAAGTTTATATTATATAAAATTTTTTTAAAATAATCAACCGTTATGCAATTAACATTTTATTTTGTGATTTTTTTAAAGGTATATCGTTATGGACAGAAGAAGTCAGTATATTCATATAGGTTGTTGACAGCTGGAACCTTTGAGGAATCACTTTTTTTGAATAATGTCTTTAAAATGGGATTGTCATACCTTATCCTTGATAATAAAAATACATTGCTACATGAAAATTTATCAAGATGTGTGATGAGTATCCCTGATCCAAATCTTGAGTGTAGATTAAAGGATACTCTTAATTTTGATGATGATGCTCTGAATACCGTAGGCAAAGAGTAATTATAATTTAAAATTTCTCTAAAATTGAAGATTTTTATCAATCAATACATTATCAATACGTTTATAATTATTCATTTATCTTTAACTAGTCTTAGAGATCAAATTATTGATATACGTTATGTAGCAGAATATTTCAACAGCGATGATCGTAATCTAAATGAAGAAGAAACAAAAGAAGCTGAAAATATCTTTGAGCAGGAAAAAGAACGGTTAAAAACTCGTCGACAGAGCGTCAGAAAAACCAAACAGAACCTTCATATAGATTACAATCAAATTTAATTTGTCTTTTTATAATTATATATATACACATATACACACACACATTATTTGTTACTCATTGCTAATATAATTAAATAATACAGGGACCGTGTTGCTGAGAAAATTAAGGATGGGGTAAATGATACCCAGTTTTGATTGAATGAACCCCATACTTGGCAGACTATAATGAGTGACTTCTTCATGACTTACTACAAAGCGAAGACATAAATGTTTGTAATAACACCCAAAGAAGTTAATGTTGATTATCTCTAAATCTATAGAACACCGAAAATTCGGCCTAACTGAGTTTATGGGTGATCATTAGCATTAGTTATTTTAGTAATTATCCCTTAAACGGACAAAAATTGCAGACCCTACTAGACAAAAAAATTATCAAGTGTCCCTTATTTTTATTTTTATTTTTTGATAGAAAAGGTCATGAAATTTATGTATGAATATTCATTTTAAATAAAATTATTTTTTTTAGAAGCTTTATTAATACCGAATAAGTGTATTTTTTTTAAAAAATTAGTTTTGAAATAATTATTGATTTCAACCCTGGGGCTCAGATATAAATTATGTAATTTGATCTGCTTAACAAGTCTTGTTAATAGCGTATGCATATCAGCTAATAATTTTAGGGGGGACATGAGGTCTACGTAACCATATTACAAATTTTTATATTAAAAAAAGATCTTTATAACGTTTACACATATTATATCTCTATTTAGGGTGTTTTGAATAAATAAGAAGTTGTAGTGAGACTGCAGAAAAAGGCCTTTTTTTGTAATTGATGAATCACAATTGCAAATTGCGTCCAAATCTGGACGCAATTTCGTTTAAGGGATAGTAATTATATATTTTGCTGGTTCTACTTAAATATCGTGATATTTTTTATATGCAAATTGGGCGTAGTTTCTAAACCAAAAAATGTTCTACATGAATAGATCTGATGTTGATTGCATGTGTCAGATTTAATTAAAACTTCCTATCACAAACATGCAATCGCGATGCAATTAAGCACAATTCAGCATCATGGAATGTTTTCCACAGGTGAAGGAGGGTTGAACATGTTGGAAGGCTTTGGACAAAACTTCCCTATCTTCCCCTCAAACCAGGCTTGGCTGTCACTATATGGGCATTGATCACTGATAGCTGGCATTTGTGTGATGATTGCTGCATATTATTGCCACACTAGCATAAAAGTTGGCACCTGCAACTGGTTCAAAATTCTGCAACTCAGAAGGTTGCAACCTGGGTTGCTGTTTTAAGTTTTCCCTGAATTCAGAGTTTGAGTCCTGGGTTGCTGTAATTTTTATGAAAAGAAAAGTATTAATATTTAACAATTAATTATTTAAA